GGACCCAAAAAAAAAAAAAAAAAAAAAAAAAAAAGTGAACTGAATTTTAAAATTGCATTTAATGGTAATTAAATTTAAACAAGTATATATGGCCCATGACTGCCATAGTGGACAGTGTCGCGCTAAATTCTTAAGTTCTGAGAGGGTGAGACTGTTTCAAACCACTGCAAAGTACTGGGCAGTTGGGCTCTCCTGGGGTCTGAGCCCCGGTGGGAAGGTGGAGGTGTCCCTCAGGGATCCTAGAAAACTGCCAGAAAGTGCTGTTCAAACGCCTGGCCACAAGGTGGCTCTGGGCTGTCTCTGGCTGAGATCCAGGCGTCCTGAGGAGGAAATGCACCCGGATGACCCTTGTGCCCATTTCTCTGTCTCTCTTGTCTTCAAAGTCATACAGCTCCAAAACCTGCCACCAAACGGCGTCCAGTGTTACAGCTGCGAGGGGAACAGTACCCACGGGTGTTCCTCCAACGAGAGCTCGCTGGTCGACTGCCGCGGCCCCATGGATCAGTGTCTCCAAGCCACGGGTCCTATAGGTGAGCCCCTTCTGGACAGCCGGTTGACTTCCAGATAAGCTGAACTTAAACCGACATGATTTTTCTTAGAGGAAAGGTGGGAGTTTCCCTCAGGGGATGCAAACTGTAGCAGGGAATTGGGACCTATTCACTCAGAAATGGACGTTTATGCCACAGAAGTGTGGACCCCTTTGCAGGGGAGGTTTCCTGTGGACAGCCAGGGCTTTCATTTTGGAGTGCCTCGATTCCAGGGTTCTCAGACATTTTGGTCTCAAGACTTCTTTATGCCAGGCGTGCTGGCACAAACCTGTGATCTGAGCACTCGGAGAGGCTGAGGCAGGAAGATCACAAGTTGGAGCCCAGCATAGGCAGCTTAGCAACTTAGCAGAACCTGTCTCAGAATTTAAAAGGGTAGGGAGTAGGTAGCTCGGTGCAAAGGCCCTGAGATCAATCCCCAGTACTGCCAAAAAAAAAAAAAAAAAAAGACTCCTTTGCACTCTCAAAAATTATTGTTCGTGTCAGTTATGGCTATGGATATGTACTACAATAGAAATGAAAACTGATAAAGAATTTTAAGATTTATTTATAAATTAATTTAACTTTTTATAATTGATATTTATTAAAATAACAATAAAAACTCACTGCACAATAACATGAATAAGTTTCATGTGTGTGTTTGTGTGTGTGGTCCTGGGCCCAGAGTCTCACGCCTGCTAGGCAAGCACTCTGCCACTTAGCTATGCTCCCAGCCCACCAATGACATTTTTTTCTAATAATCTAATGCAGGCTGGCCTTGAATTTGCTTATGTAACCCAGCCTGGCCTCAAACTCACCGTGATTCTCTTGCCTCAACCTCCTGACTGATGGGATTAGAGGCATACGTCACCACTCCCAGCCACAAATGACATTCTTAAATAAAATGTGGCAATATTTAAAAAAAAAAGTAATGAGAAGACTGGCATTGTTTGACTGGGATGCAAGTCTCTTTACTGTCTGGCTGAGCAGAAGGCAGCTGGATCCTCACCTCTGTTTCTGTGTTCAGCCCATTTCAGTGTCACATGCGCTAGAGTTCCTGGGAAGTTCCCTGTAGACTTGCAAGCATGAACGTGCCCGATTCTGTGGTAGCGTCCTTCTGAGAATCGTTCTGACGTCACAGGGCTTGGAAGGTGTCTGGGAATTCTCCCCTCCAACACACACCGGGTGCCTAGATCACCCTCTGAGAACTGCTGCTTTCTCCAGGTAGCAGTGGAGGTGGGACTCGGCACAAGGGCTGTGTCACCCACTGGAGAATCCCAGGCCCCAGAACCTGGGTCTCAGTCAGTCGTCTTTTTCTTCCTCAGGACTGGGGAACGAGACCTTCACAGTGAGGGGCTGTGTGACTGCCTCCTGGTGCCATGACTCCCACATGTCCGACATCTTCAGCCTGACCCGCCTCAGTATCTCGTGCTGTAAGGGCACTGGCTGTAACCACCCAGCCAGCGACATCCAGTACCGCAGTGGGGGCGCCCCCCGGCCTGGCCCTGTCCCCCTTAGCCTTGCCAGCACTCTGTTGGTGATCATAAGACTATGGGGAGGCGTTCTCCTCTGGACCTGAACCTCAAGCCCTCCACCCTGGCTGGACCCAGGGAATCCCTCTGCTCTGCCTTCAACTCCGGTTCTTGCAGACGTGTGCCAGTGTGCTGTCCTCTCTGGACCACCGTCTCCCCAGCTGTGAAATCTTTCCTGAGAGGCTGAAGAGAAATGTTGGAGAAAGGCTGCCGGCAAGCAGGAAAGATCTTGGTTTTATTAATATGGTTGCCATGCTTGTTAATATTATTATGAATATTCATATTATTTATTTTATATGTAAATAAAAACTTTTTGTACTAATGAACTTCACTCTAAGTTGCCTCCCCATCTGTTTCTGGCATCCAAATACAAATTTTTAATTCACCCACCCAAGCACAAGTCATCCAGTGGTCTCTTCTCCCTAGTTTCAAAGATTAAGACTATTGCATTGTTCTAGGGAGATAGGACATCTCCATTTCCAACGGTGCTCTGAGAAAGGAGTTGGAGAAAAGATAATCAAGTAGCCAGAATTCCCTTGATAAGCCACAGTGAGGAATAAAGACAGGACTACATTTCCCCTGATGCTCTGAGGTATACTTCCCAGAATGCTTTAGGACCTATGGAGAAGTCAGGACTCCCAACTCAGTGGAATTCCTAGAGCACAGTAATGAATTTATGCTCCGGGCAGGTGAGGAACAGGGCTTTTTAGCTTCTCCCAGTCATGTATCATCACTTGCAATTGTGGTAGCTTAGAGAAGTGAAGTCTGCATCTTCAGTTCTTGAATGTGAATGTCTTTGTAACTGCTTTGACCAATAGGTTATGGTGGAAGGTAAACTGTGCCATGTTGCTAGATCTAGACTTTAAGAAACTCTTCCACTTCTGCCATGCTTCGAGGAAGCCCAAGCTTCTCAGGCACAGACGCCCCATGGAATGAGAGCCCAGTGGTGCCCAGCCATGCTGCCCGGCAGACAAAACTGGAAAAGAAGCCAAGGCATAAAAGCACGCACCTATAATTCCAGCACACTAGGAGGCTGAAACAGGAGGATCACAAGTTCAAACCCAGAGTAGGCATTTAGTAAGACTGTGTCTCAAGAAGTAAAAAAAGAGTTGTGGCCAGCCAGATAGTTCAGCGGACTAAAGGACCTGCTGAAGCAGGCACAAGGATCAGGGTTTGATCCCCAGTGTGCCATGTTGGCCCTGCCCCCAAGGCACACTGAGCTGGCAAAAAGAGACGGTGTGGTGGCGCACTCCTATAATCCCAGTGCTTGGGACGCTAAAACAGGAGGATCACTACAAGTCAGATTTGTATAGTGAGACCCTGTACTAAATACATAAAAAACAATTTTTTTAAAAAATAAAGTCTAGGATGCTGGCCAAATAGCTCAGCAGATTAAAGCACCTGCAAACAGGTTCAATCTCTGGGCCTGCTGTGTTGGCCCCGCCTCCAGGGTGCCCCGAGATGGCAATTGAGACTGGGCGTGGTGGTGCGGTCCATGTAATCCCAGCTCTTGGGAGGCTGTAAGCAGGCGGACCACTATGAGTCCAATCTAGTAGTGAGACTGAACACCCTGTAGACCCTTCCCTAAAAAATACAAAAAAAAAAAAAAAAAAAAAAAGAGTTGAAGGTGTAGTTCAGAGCAAAGACCCTGGGTTCAGTCCCCCAGGGCATATGCACACACCTGCGCGTGCATACACACACAGAGAGGAGAAGAACCAGAAAATCCAGCCGTGCTAGTGCCTGAGGGCTTCTGTAATAAATTACTACAGTTAGCAATTAGATGGCTTAAAACATCAGAATCTTATTCTCTCACAGTCCTGGACGCTAGGAGTCTGAAGCCAAGGCTTTTTGTTTTATTTTGAGTTAGGGTCTCACTAGGTAGGTAGCGCTTATTCTACTAAGCCATCTCCTGGGCCCTCTACCTCTATCTCTATCCCTATCTCTACCTGTCTCTATCAGGGCCGGAGTTGCAGGTGGGACAAACCCTGGTCCTGGCACTTTCCAAGCAGGCACCTAATCTGCTGAGCTCTCTC